TTTGGATAGAGTGAAGGATTAGAACACCTCTTAAATTTTTATTACTGTTTATTACGTGAGCCGTATTGTGACTAGTTCTAGAGTGACCCTGCTGAAACACCAGATCAACTCACTTTGGAGAGATTTCCTCTTACTTCCTGTTGTAACTATAGGACAGGAAGTGAAGGAAAATCTTCACAATAGGACACATATGACAAAAAAAAATTAAAGTGATTATAACTCTTCCTTACTCTATACAAAATGAAAAAAAGGTTTTGCCTTAATGACACTAACATGTCTGTTGGCTGGCTTTCTACCTTAAAGGCTAAGTTCATTTAAAAAAATAATAGATGCACACCTTTTTGGTACATAAAACAAAGTGCATTTATTATTTTTTCTTTACACTAGAGCCTGTAAAGCATTGCACCTGCGATCAGCAGATTTCAGGTACAATTTATGGATCCTGCAGATACTCAGTAAGCTGTCTGTCCGCACTTCGTATGGGCAGACATTTACTGAATTGCAGGAAGAGTCAAACTATGAAACCAGCACCCTTGCAGTCCATTGAGACGTACATTCCATTGGCCTCTTTAGATGTACCGTATTTTTCGCTCCATAAGACGCACTTTTTTCTCCCAAAAAATGGGGGAAAATGTATGTGTGTCTTATGGAGCGAATATGAAGCAGCCGGCCCGATATTCCCGCTGCCGTGTTAGAATACTGGACTGGCTGCTCGGCTCTACTGTGCAGAAGAACCCGCTCCTCCATCCTACCTGTTCCCCGGGTCCAGCGGTATCCTGCTTCCATTAGCCGTCTTCTCTCCCTGGCGGCGGTATCTTCAGTGTAGGCACCCGGCTGTGACAGCTTGCGGCTTCACAGCCGGGTGCCCACTGCGCATGCGCGAGAAGCGCTGTGCTTTCTGAATGGCCCCATAGTCTTTTGGGACCTGTCATGTGTCCCAAAAGACTACAGGGGGGGGACAACTCCGCGGAAGTGGGAGCAGGTACCTGTCAAATTCGGGTACCCCGCCCCCTCCCCAAAGGTCTGCACTCTCTGGTCGTCTCCTGTACTATGCCGGCAGTCTCTGGTCGTCTCCTGTACTATGCCGGCAGTCTCTGGTCGTCTCCTGTACTATGCCGGCAGTCTCTGGTCGTCTCCTGTACTATGCCGGCAGTCTCTGGTCGTCTCCTGTACTATGCCGGCAGTCTCTGGTCGTCTCCTGTACTATGCCGGCAGTCTCTAGTCGTCTCCTGTACTATGCCGGCAGTCTCTGGTCGTCTCCTGTACTATGCCGGCAGTCTCTGGTCGTCTCCTGTACTATGCCGGCAGTCTCTGGTCGTCTCCTGTACTATGTCCGCAGTCTCTGGTCGTCTCCTGTACTATGTCCGCAGTCTCTGGTCGTCTCCTGTACTATGTCCGCAGTCTCTGGTCGTCTCCTGTACTATGTCCGCAGTCTCTTGTCATCTGCTGTACTATATCTGCAGTCTCTGGTCATTTCCTGTACTATATCTGCAGTCTCTGGTCATCTCCTGTACTATGTCTGCGGTCCATTGGTGTAGAAGTTTTTTTTTTCTTGTTTTCCTCCTTTAAAATTTAGGTACGTCTTATGGTCAGTTACGTCTTATAAAGCGAAAAATATGGTAGTTCATTCATTATACTTCCAATTGCCTAGGCGATTGCAGCGGAAGTGACAGCGGGTACCTGTCAATTCTGGTATCCGCTCCCCAAAGGTACCAATCCTTAATGGGGAGCAGGGGACCAGTCTTTAAAGCAAAACTTCCCCTTCTGGGTGGAGCCCTGCTTTAAGAAGAAATCTGATATTCTAAGAAAATGTATTAGATATGTTTTATAGCAGAAAGTAAAAAATATTGTTTTTTTTTTATTTATTGTTTTTTTGTTTATAGCACAAAAAATAAAACAGCACCAAAAGAAAGCTCTATTTGTGGGGAAACAAATGATATCAAATTCATTTATGTACAGCTTTGCATGACTGCGCAATTGTCAGGTAAAGTAACGCAGAGCTGTATCACAAAAAATGGCCTGGTCATGAAAGGAGGGTAAATCTTACAGTGGTCAAGTGGTTAATGTAACAAGCTCTTTCCAGGTTTGTTCAGGTATTGAAAATCCTTCTAGATTTAGTGCATTATTCTATATTACGGGTATTGAATTCAAATTCACAAAGGTCTAGTCAGTAAAATTTCCTTAAAGCAGAGGTATTTAATCACGTATTTAATTCTTAAAGGAACCTCTGTGCATTGGCAAACATGGTGTGTTTTTGCAAGTGCCAAACCGCACGGTGCCACAATATCATGCAGCTCAGTATGGTGCCATTAAAAAAAGAGTCAGAGACTTCTTTCTCTGTGTTTCTGCATATAAGGAAGCTCACTGACATAAATGGGCAGCCTACACGCAGAACGCAATGATGTGAACCTAACCCTCTGATCCTTCACATCACAGTCCTGTTATTACATCGGTGTTCTCAATTTCCCTGCACATCATCCCTCCCTTCACATTACAGTCCTTAGTCCCCCTTCACATTCTTGTCCTTGGTCCCCCATTATATCACCCCCCTACTTCAAATTGCCCCCCTTCACAGTCCTGTTCTTACCCCCTTTATAGCACCCCTCCTTCACATTGCAGTCTCCAGCCTTCCTTCACCTTCCACACCCCCTTTATATAACACCCCTTCACATTGCAATCCTCTGTCCCCCTTCACATTCCTGTCCTCACCCCCTTTATAGAACCCCCTTTTAACATTCCTGTCCTCACCCCCTTTATAGAACCCACCTTCACATTCCTGTCCTCACCCCCTTTAAAGAACACCCCCTTCACTCTGCAGTCTCCAGCCCCCCTTCATATTCCTCTCCTTACCACATTTATAGAAACCCCCCCTTCACACTACAGTCCCCAGCCCCCCTTCACATTCCTCTCCTCACCCCCTTTATAGAACCCCCCCCTTCACTCTGCAGTCTCCAGCCCCCCCCTTCACATTCCTCTCCTCACCCCCCATTTATAGAACCCCCCCATCACACTACAGTCCCCAGCCCCCCTTCACATTCCTCTCCTCACCCCATTTATAGAACCCCCCCTTCACATTCCTGTCCTCACCCCCTTTATAGAACCTCCCTTCACATTCCTGCCCTCACCCCCTTTATAGAACCCCCCCCTTCACTCTGCAGTCTCCAGCCCCCCCTTCACATTCCTCTCCTCACCCCATTTATAGAACCCCCCCTTCACACTGCAGTCCACAGCCCCCCTTCACATTCTTCTCCTCATCCCCTTTGTAGACCCTCCCTTTCACACTGCAGTCCCCACTTCACATTCCTCTCCTCACCCCATTTATAGAACCCCCCCCTTCACACTGCAGTCCCCAGCCCCCCACTTCACATCCCTCTCCTCATCCCCTTTATAGAACCCCGCTTCACACTGTAGTCCCCAGTCCCCCTTCACACTCCTGTCCTCACCCCCTTTGTAGAACCCCCCCATTCACACTGCAGTTCCCCAGCCCCCCTTCACATTCCTCTCCTCGCCCCCTTTGTAGAACCCACCCTTCTTTCATAACACTCACTTCACATTCCTGTCCTCACCCACCCCCTTTTATATCACCCCCTCCCTTCACATTACAGTTTCCAGACCCCCTTCACATCACCCCCCCCCCCCCCCCCCCCCCCCCCCCCCCCCCCCCCCCCCCCCCCACCCCCGTGCTTCATAGTAGTGACAGACCCAACTTCCCTGTCCTTCCTTACAGTGCAGAATGCACAGGTCTAGAGCGGACATTGTAAAGGGCAGCACAGTGATATACAGAAGGAGGAAGCTGCCCCCTTAACGGATTGGTTGCTATGATGCAGGGCAGTCCTAGAAACCAATCAGTAAACTGAGCAAGCTACCGCCCTCTGTCCATCACTGTGCTGCTTCCCTAGGTCAGCTCTGCAAACAATACAGTGCTAGTGGCAGCAAGTGGAAAGAACCGGCTTCTAAATGGCGCGACCACGGCAGGTCCGGGAGGTACATTGACTCGGTCCGCATCCGGACCGCAGTCTGCCATTTAGTGATGGCTGTTCTATGTACATGGGGCAGATTTCAGTAAACACGCAGCTTCTGCTTTGCTGTCCATTGCTCCTCCTTTCATCTCAGCATACTGCTGTGCTGTATTGGATAATACCCAGAAAGCTCCTGGTAGGTGCAGACCATGTGATCACTGCCTAGGCTTTTACATCACATGACAATACGTTACCTGTCATCTGACAACACTGATATCTGCACCGTTCATTGAATGCCAGGCCTCCTTATTAAGGGACACTTGTCTAGGACCTTACCAGTGTAGTTTTTTGGGGACACACAACTACCTGAGGACTCCACAGTTTAATACAAGCTTCAACCAGCTCCCTTAGTAGAAGTGAACTCACCAAGGCTGCTCCATGGTGTGCTATGTACAAGGCTTGCCCACAGTATTATACACCATCCATGTGTACACAACACTCCCGCCGCCTTACTCTCCTCTGCCCGCTCTCCCCCTGACCCATGACACTCACACACGTGCCTCAGCCTGTAGCCTATTGGTGACCCAGCTTGAAGACAAGCCACACGTGACCTAGCGTTTACCGGCAACCGCCATGTTTGATGAGGGCACCATAAAAGAACTAAAAATAAAAAATTTTAAAAACGATGAGTCATTTATTTCTGGATACCAAAAGACATTATCTAATCCCATGCTATATTACCGCGCTATTTTCAAAACGAAAATACTCTTTTTTAATTGTATATTTCCTTGCATAATTATCTATAAATTGCACAGTATTATAGCTGCACGCCGATCCTATGATAGAGACACATTAGGACATATATAGTAAAATAGGTTATTCTGTAACTAAGCAGCTTTGCCATTAGTAAATATGGTGACGGCATGAGTTGCATCAGTCTCTTCCTGATAGCGAGGCTGCGCCGGTGTGTACCGGGAGCCGGTGACGTCATCCGCGCAGTTTCCGGGAAGCGCAGCGTGCTGCAGTGTGAGTGCCGCAGACATGCCCATGTACAGAGCGCAGCCGTACAACAGCGGGGACATCCAGGTAGATCTGCCCACCTGCATGTACAGCCTGCCCAACGTGCACCAGCCCATCAATGGACTCCATGAGCAGGTAAATGACACATCCAGCCTTCCTTCCCTCCCTCCTTCCAGGGTGAGATGTGTGCCTTCCACTCAGCTCCTCTGACAGCATTGTCCTGTACACCGATCAGCCATAACATTAGACCACCGACAGGTAAAGTGAGCAACATTACTTATCTCCTTACAATGGCATCTGAAAGTGGGTGGGATATATAAGGCAGCAAGTGAACATGTTGTCCCTGAAGTTGATGTGTTGAAAGCAGAAAAAATGGGCAATAAAAGGATTTGAGTGACTTTGACAAGGGCCAAATTGCAATGGCTGGCTGATTGGGTCAGAGCAACTCCAAAACCAAGGAATGTTCACAGTCTGCAGTGGTCAGGACCAACCAAAAGTGGTCCATGGAAGAAAATATGGTGACAGGGTCGTGGGGCGGCCAAGACTCATTAATGGGGTGGGGGCAAAGGCTGCTCTGTGTATGTCCAATAGAAGAGCCACTGTAGATCATATTGCGGAAAAAGTTAAAGCTGATATGTTCCAGCTGAAAAAATAAAAAAAAGTCATCAGCTACAAAAACTGAAGCTTCTGACTTTTAAAATGCAGCCACTTACCTGTCCCTCAGTCCAGCGGTGTCCTCCCCACCGCTGGTTTCACCCGTCGTCTTCTCTACCTGGAGCCAGCATCTTCAGTGTGGGCACCCGGCTGTGACAGCAGCAGGGTGCCCACTGCACATGCGCGAGAAGCGCTGTGCTTTGTGAATTGCCCCATAGTCTTCTGGGACCTGTCACGTGTCCCAGATGACTATGTGGAGGGAGGGAGGACATCTTCAGATTCCGATCGCCTAGGTGATCGCAGCGGAAGTGGGAGCGAGTACCTGTCATATTCTGGTACCCGCTCCCCAAATGTGCCAATCCTTAATGGGGACAAAGCATTAAAGCGGAACTTCCCCTTTGGGGTGAAACAACGCTTTAAAGTTTTTGGCTTCATGTACACAAGAATACTCTGACCACCAGCCACTGGGAAACGCAAAACGTGGCAACTGCGGTGCCACGTTTTGCATTTTCCTGTGGTCAGCGGTCAAAACGGTCCTATCCTGAACACAACTCTTTCGAGCTCAGTAGTGGGAGGTTTAACCTCACCTAAACGGAGCAGCTCCTAAACTTTGCTAAAAGCCTGTGTGTACATGGACGCATCGGCTTTTAATGCCAAATTGCCCTAAACTCGAGATTAGGAGCTGCTCGTGTACATGAAGCCTTAGGGCTTGTTCACACTTGACTTCTTCCCAAACAACACTATAGCATTTGACAGGCATTTGGGGAGCGTTTTTAACACCCTATGCAAGGTTTTCAGGCGTTTAATAGGCATTTTCCAAGCGTTAAACCCGCACCACAAACATTTATAATGAAGTTAATGGTATTAACACCCCACAAGTCCTGGGTTTAGTAACACTTTAATGCTGGGTCTGATAGGTGTCAGAACACACAGAGAATGGCAGTTTGTTGTGTATGTGGCTGAGTAGCTGCAGACTAGTCAGGGATCCGTGCTGACCAGGGGCGGACTGACCATTTGGAAATTCGGGCACTGTCCCGAGGGCCCGGGGTCAGTAGGGGGCCCCATGAAATGCCCCTGTTACCTTTTTCATAGGCTTTTTTTGAGTTTGGGCAAGGACACAGGGGCCCCTTGATCCCCTATTGCCCGGGGTCCATGAGTTGTCAGTCCGCCCCTGGTGCTGACCCATGTCCACAGCCTACAATGGGCACATCAGAACTGGATCAGAACAGCAATGGAAGAATGTGGCCTGGTCTGACGAATCACATTTTCTTTTCCATCATGTGGATGGCCGGGTGTGTGTGTGTCACCCCCCCCTGGGGCAGGGATGGCACCAGGATGAGCTGTAGGAAGAAGGCAAGCCAAAGGAGGCAGTGATCTGATACTGACGGTTTGATGCCAGACACCACAGCATATCGTCAGAGGTCTAGCGGAGTCCACGCCTGATGGATCAGAGCTGTTTTGGTGGCAAAAAGGCAACCTTCTCAATATTAGGCTGGTGTTCATAATGTTATGGCTGATTGGTGTATATTCCTCCATAGCGACATAGGATAAGAATCCACTTTATGTGCACCAAATATCCAGTTATTACCTTGTGAAAGCAGCAGTGACATCATCACTGTGCTATACATAACCTGTACAAAGAGGGATCCACCAGGCTTCACCTACTACAGGCTGCCTTCAAAAAACTACAGGAAGGGGCGGAGACAAGACCGGTCACTCTGCACAAGGAGAGAGAGCAACAGGGACCAGTCTTTGCTACGGGAAGCTCCTGCACAGGCAGAATTTTATAATGGATTACTGCACAGACCTGGAAGAAATGCATAAATTACTGAAAGATTCAATCACTCGTTCTGCTTCTAGGACAGGATATCCTGTACAGGCTCTATTTGTTCCTCTAGTCATCACTTACCCAGGGTTATGGAATCTTCCCCATCTGGCAGTGTTGGTGATTGAACAGAGGTATACCGCTCAGGCAAACAATCCAGAACAATCCACAAAGGTGCAGGCTCTGGCTCGCCACCACACACAATGCAATAGGAAGAAGGGTCAGCCGCACACCGGAGGATTGATGAATATAGTATTTATTGATCCATAGGACACACAAAACACCAGGACATGAATACAGGACTTGTTAACACGATCTTGTGCTCAATCATGACCAATCATGACTAAACACAAGATCGTGTTAACAGGTCCTGTATTCATGTCCTGGTGTTTTGTGTGTCCTATGGATCAATAAATACTATATTCATCAATCCTCCGGTGTGCGGCTGACCCTTCTTCCTATTGTGTTGGTGATTGGCCAAGTACTGTCACATGCTCCTACATACTTAGAAGTACCAGTTTTTTTTCCACTCCTGGCAGTTGAAGATACTAGCAATGCTCTGCTAGCTCTGTAATGACTGTGTCTGTATTTGGGTACCATACAAAATATTTCTTCTTTATATTTGTCCAATTTGTAGTCCAATCTGATACTGTTTGCACTGTAAACCTTCTCCCATAGGTCCCATACTCTCACATGTGTACTGTAAATATGAGAGCATTTAGAACCTGTGGCATACCAGTGATTGTTGGTATGGCCCAACCGGGAAACCAGTAGATAGACATGTCATTGTCCAAGTGTTGCATCAGCATTCAGGTAGATGTGGCAGGAGTCCACATGTCTGAATGTTGAGGTCCATTAAAAAAAATGACTTTAGGTCTTCTGCCATATAAAAATAACTGGACACCTCAAATAAATCTATTGGAGTGGTGTCCATGGAATCCATGTGGCAGCTGTCTTTACTTCGGCATCTTTGACGCTTTTCTGAGATTGAGGCACTGAGTGGCTGCTCAGACACAAGGCATCCAGTCGGTGCCTCTGCCTCACACTGAGTGGAAGATGAGGAAATAGGAGCGAAGACTGTGTTGGGCAGAAGAGTATGGATGTCCTGCTTTTTTTTTGCAAATGGCCACCACATGGAATTCCAGCCAAGCAACTACATACACGGTTAAAATGCCTATGGGTGAATCGTTTTATCTGACAACTCAGGGTATGGTTGTATGTGCAGCCATAACTTGGCCATCGGGAAAGGTCCTTGTTAGCAAGTGTGGGCATAAACATGCACATTCAGGGTGTCTGAGCAAACAAGGCCACCTCCAGTGCCCGAAGGAGATGGTTCACCTAGATACCTGTAACACCATCTTATCTCAGGGAAGGCTGTGATTTTCAGACAAAGGAGTCAATTCACTAAAGGTTACCACTTGCGATATGAATGTAACATGACCCATTTTTCAGAAATCTCAGATTGGATAAAAGTTAATTCATCAAATAAAATATCAAAAGTGAGGTAAATACCACCCAAAAAAAAAAAAAAAAAAAAAATAATTAAAGTCAGTTCACTAAACACACACAGTCATTATTTATCACCTGCCAGTAGGCAGTCAGTGTTTTAGCAATGTTCAAGAGGAACTCTGCACTGGCCAGTAAGGTAATAGTATACAATGTATCAGCGTAGAAATGTTCTGTCCTGAGCTCAGGAAGGGAAATAAATTGTAACATTTCACCAGAGGGAGATCGATCTGTGAATGAGAGAATGCTATAATGTTTTCACAGTTTCATAATATTTCTGTGTGCAGTTATTTCTTCCTCTGGTGCAGTGTTCGCATGAAAAAAGAAAATTGTAGAAAAAAAATGCCAAAAATAATGCTAAATTTAAGTGATAAATATTGCAATTTTTTTTCTCTGAATCGACTTCATGTGTAGATAAATACCACAGGAGTTATATTAACGAAAAAAATCATGTGGTATTTATCTCTTAGTGAATTGACCACAAAATTGCACAGTTTTCTGATAAATGTCGTCCCCCCCATTTATATGAAAAAAAAAAAATATATTTATTTTCATACTAAAGCGGTATAACAAATCCTAGTACAAGTACATAAAACAGGATGTATACAATGAACATGAATGGAGCACTGCACTGAATAGAGATGGAAAGAGGAGGATGAAGTGTGAGTTCAACAATGGTAGGTTAGTGGAATACAAAGTCTCTAGACCAGGGGTGTCCAACCTTTTGACTTTCCTGGGCCCCATTGGAAGAACCGGAATTGTCTTGGGCCACACATAAAATCCACTAACAATAAGGACAGCTGATGAGCAGAAAAAGTCGGGCAGATCACAAGTTGACTATCACTGATATAGATAATGTACTTGCCGCTATTTTGTTCTTTTTACGACACATTCCTTGATATGCCTTGAATTTGTCAGTATGTTTTTGCATAGAATGCCTTCTCAAATTGTAGTCTTTGAAAACTGCCACTGATTCCCTACAAACTAAGCAGAGTGCTTTAGCATCTGCCTCGAAAAAAAAAAAGGTTATCTGTCCAAATTTCCTTGCACAGTCTTCCTCTGAAACTTTTTTTTTTTTCGGTGTGGGGGGGGGGGGGGTTCTGTTTTAATTTGCAATATGGAAACCATGCTAGAATTAAAGCAATAAATAACGGTATTAGATTTAAACTGTGGATGTGCTGAGTGGGTAGGTAGAGGGGGGAGTTGTAGGGGGGCACAATTGAAATCTAGGGATGGGGGGTCATGCCAGGTGCTGCAACTGCTACACTTGCATGGCAAGCCCTCCAGACATTTGCTGGGCCACATGCTTAAAAGAGAAGTAGAGCACTTTTTTTTCCCCCAGATATACTTACCTAGGTGGAGGCAACATCGGTCCGATGCTGCCTGTCCCCTGCTGGCTCTAAGGACATGACCACTGAGTTCTCCTGTCTGCTCTGAGCAAAGGGCAGTAACTGTCAGTCACCACAATCTACGCTGCCCCCCCCAGAGCACTGCGCTGTGGGGAGGGGAAGGGAGCGGCTGGCTCAGGCTCTCAGCAGCTCACTGCGAGGCTGAGCCAGGTGCTGCTCCAGATTCTGGGATGGATCCCGACTTTAAAGTCAGGATCTTTTCCAAGCCTGGACCAGCTGAGTGACATGCACAGTCAGCTAAAAATGGGTCACAGGAATGCAGAACGAACTGCACTCCTGTGATCTGCAGGAGAAGTACAGCCAAAACAGCTTTGGCTGTACTTCACCTTTAGCACTTTTGGGCCACAGGTTGGACATCCTAACAGTGTTGACATTTCTTAATGTGCTGGTAGATAGGCCCATATTGACTAAGGGGTTGTCTTTGACAAGTAGGTCATGTCAAAATATAAAAATGTGTTGTGATATGGTATTCTATCTATTTATCTCTAAGATCTCATAAAATAACACGTATTTTGTGCTCCAGTGTTACAAGGTGTGTGTGGGGGTTGGGGGTAAAGTGTGCCTTCAGGAGGACAAAAGGAAGAGGAGCAGAGGGAAGTCCAGTCCCTTGGGGCACACCTTGGGTCTTATTTCTATGATCGGTTAAACTGTAAGGTAATTGACTATTGGGGTTCAGGGGTCACATATCTTATTAAATGTTTCTTGGTGTTTTGTAATCTGGTCAACAAAAGCTTGATTGCATCTTTCTGTTTCAGCTAAGGAGATCATTTTTCGAAACAAGATTGTTTCCATTTTTCAATCATCTAGCAGCATGCTACAGTGAGGACATGAATGGCAAGTCTGGTCAGTGCAGACATTACCAGAGGGAGAATGATACCAAGGGGAGGCAGTGTATGGGATCTAGTGAAGGAAGGGCTCTGGTAATTTTTAGAAGTGTATCTTCCATACTATGACAGAAGGGAAATTACTAATATATTGTTTAATTCCCCTTCAGTAACTTCTTCATAAATGACTTTTTTTTTTTTTTTTTTTTTATTTTGTAGAAGAAAAATATCTTAAATATTGCATTTTAGGATTGGAATGCAGTTTGACACCCCTGTTTTAGGTGATGTAAATATGTAACAATGCTGCCTTCAGGCAAAGGAGGAGGGAGAGGAGGGCTTTGTTGATTGTCCACACATTTGCAAAAAGATTTTATTACAGAAGGTCATGTGTCAGTATGTATTTGTCCTTTATTCATACAGTAAGAATCTACTAGTAAGTAAAACATGATTTATTAGAATTAGGTCAGCAATGGTGGCCCTATATTCCTTTTAAAATAGTTGAATTAGGTCTAGTGTCACTAAGAAGTTACAGTTGCCACTTAATGACTGTCTTTTGAAAACAGATTGTGACATTAAAGCGAAGCTTTAAGCCTTTGCCTCCCGCTCCCCATTAAGGATTGGCACCTTTGGGGAGCGGGTTCGCAAATTTGACAGGTACCTGCTTCCGCTTCCACTTCCACTGTGATCGCCTAGGTGATCGGAAGCGGAAGTTGTTGTTCCCCCCCACCCCCCCCCAACACGTGACAGGTCCCAGAAGACTACCTGACCATTCACAAAGTGCAGCGCTTCTCGCTCATGCGCAGTGGAACTTGGTCTAGTGTCACTAAGAAATTACAGTTACCACTTAATGACTGTCTTTTGAAAACAGATTGTGACATTAAAGCGGAGTTGCACCCCAAAGGGGAAGTTCCGCTTTAATGCTTTGTCCCCCGCTCCCCATTAAGGATTGGTGCCTTTTGGGGAGCGGGTACCAGAATATGACAGGTACCCGCTCCCACTTCCATTGCGATCACCTAGGCGATCGGAAGCTGAAGATGTCCTCCCTCCACATAGTCATCTGGGACATGTGACAGGTCCCAGAAGACTATGGGGCAATTCACAAAGCACAGCGCTTCTTGCGCATGCTCAGTGGGCACCCGGCTGTGAAGCCGCAAGCTGTCACAGCCGGGTGCCCTTACAGAAGATGCTGGCACCAGGGAGAGAAGATGGCTGGTGAGGATACCGCTAGACCAAGGGACAGGTAAGTGTCTGTATTTTAAAAGTCAGCAGCTACAGTTTTTGTAGCTGCTGAATTTAATTTTTTTCTTTTCAGGTGGAACTCCGCTTTAAAGAACATAGTTGGTTACTAGTTTCTTTTTGCAGACCTTTACATTTCTTGAGCAGGAGCTCTTCTGTTCTTTTTTTTTTTTTTTTTTCTTTTTTTTTTCTGACTTCTGTTATTTTGTTGTATCCTAAGGAGCAAGCTGATCCAGCTCTACAAGCCCTGGAGTCCAGGCAAGAAGATATCTTGAAGCGCCTCTATGAGCTGAAAGCTGCTGTTGATGGCCTCTCAAAGATGATCCAGACTCCAGATGCAGATCTTGATGTGACAGACATTATTCAGGCAGATACAACAGCAGCTCCGGCCACTCAGACAGCAGACCTGGATGCTATACTTGGAAAAGTATGTTATTACTGCTGTGGCTTGGTAGTACACAGTATTTATTTAGATCAACCAGCCAATGTTGGTGTCCATCTAAGAGCCAACACTACTGGGATATTGAATAGAAGCCAGGGGATGCTGGGAATCTGATATGATAAAGATGTGAGGGCCCTGCAATTAGAATAAAGGTTATTCTGGGCAGTGCTGGATAAACTTCATGTGCCTAAACTATTAGCTAGGGTAGACAGTCAGTCTACTGAAATACTGGTTTTGGGTTGGTTGGCTCTTTACAAATGCCAGTAGGAAGACTGATTGCCCTGATAGATGGTGTGTTATTAGGTCTAATCTTCTTAATCCTTGTGTACAGTAAAAAAAAATTGCTGTGGCCAAGTTATACCTGAGGGTTATTGAACATCTAGGATGGTAGTTGTGAAGGTATAATAATGGCATTTAAAAACTCTCAAAGACTATAGCAGAGTGAAAATGCCTTGACACTACCAGTTTCTGTGATGCTGCTAGCCAGCAATTATTGTACAGTTGGTCACTTATCACACACATCCTCCTCATTCCAATGATTGCTCAAACAAATGAACCCTTGACCGTGTCTGCTTGCTTCAGCCTTCAAGTGTTACTTATAAGGTAAATAAAATCCTAATCAAAAAAGCTAATGGGTTTTTAAGGTACCAAACAAATATTACAAAAAACCATATAAATTTAAAAAAAAAAGAGTTGAAGAAAAGTTTACTGCCTTTTATTTGTTAAAAAAACTACCATATTGGTGAGGCATGACAATAGGACACATAGATCATAATAGGCCCAAATGTGTTGGACAGATAGTACTACAAAATGTAGCCTACTGACAATAAATCACAGATTGAAATAATGATGCTCTTAGGATGATTCCTTGACATCTTTGGTGCCAATAAAATACTCTGTTAATTGTCCAGCATTTCACGGGACAAAGCCAACTTCTTCAGGGAGACAAAGTATACAATTCTAAAGTAGGGCAAACATAGGCCCAAGACACATTATGGATATCTGACCATTATAGTACATAGAATTAAAAAAGAAAACTATGAACCATCTCCAACCCCACTTACATTATTCATTATTATTAGGTTTGGTACCAGTAAAACCTTCTTACAAGGATCTGGAGATTTATTGTCTCCATCTCTCACCCCACTTACATTTATTGTTCATATTTAGGTAGTCATGCCCCACCAATATGGTGTTTTATTAACTAATAATAGGCAGTAAACTTTTCTTCAACTCCTTTTTTTTTTCTTATTTTTGTATAGTTTTTGTTATATAAGGTTTGGTACCTTAAAAACCCCATTAGCTTTTTTGGTTAGGGTTTTATTTACTGTGTTTTCAAATCAGGGGTGTGGTACCAGTAAAACCTTCTTATAAGGATTTGGAGATTTAATGTCTCCATCTCCCACCCCACTTACATTTATTGTTACTTATAAGGCGCACTAAAAGTGGAGTTCCACTCACCCTGTCAAAAAATGAAAGTCAGCAGCTACAAAAACTGTAGCTACTGACTTTTAAAAAACAACCACTTACCTGTCCCTCAGTCCTGCGGTGTGTCCCCCGCAGCCCGTTTCACCGGCCATCCTGTATTCCAGGAGGCCAGCATCTTCACTGTGGGCACCTGTCTGTGACAGCTTGCGGCTTCACAGCCGGGTACCCACCGCGCATGCGCGAGTAGCGTTGTGCTTAATGAATGGTCCTGTAGTCTTCTGGGACCTATTACGTGTCCCAAAAGACTACAGGGAGGGAGGACACCTTCCACATCCGATCGCCTAGGCAGTCGGACCTGGAAGTGGGAGCGGATACCTGTCAAATTCGGGTACCCGGTCCCCCGCCCTCCAAAGGTGCCAATCCTTAATGGGGATCGGGGGAGCAGTCCTTAAAGCGGAACTTCCCCTCTTGGGTCGAGCTCGGCTTTAAGGGCTCATGTCAACAGGCGTTCATTTCCTGTGTTTGACCTGCATGGGGAACACACATCAAGCACAGGTGATCAAAATCCCATTGACTTAAATTAAGCATTAAGAGCCGGTTCACACATATGCGAATTGGATGCGTTTTGAACCGCATCCAATTTGCATGACGTGAAAGAACATTGCTTTCTACTGTGGCTGTTTACATTTGTCTGGTGCAGACAGCGTGTGGATTTAGTTGGAATTGAAAAAGAGTCCTGTCTGTTCACACATGTGCGAATTAAAGTTCCATTTTTACAGATAATTGACACAGTAGTTGTTCAGCGTTTCAGGTCAGGTCAGGATCAGGTCAGGATTTTATCCTGTTCATAACTGAATGAAATGTGCGATTCAGAAGTGTTCCCATAGAAATCAGTGGGCCTGAATTTGCATCGGAGCCAGACCGTAATGCTCAAAAACTGGGTTAAGTTTACCTTTTAAAAAGAAAAATAATAATAATTGGACATAATTGTGCAGGTAAAAAAATGTAATTTTTTTTTTAGTTTAATTTTTTTATAGGACTTTCTGTTACAAAGCTAGAGGAGGACTGAATGAACTACGGGCATGCTGATTGTATTTCATTAATACTACAATTCTGTCTGGCAGTTTTTTCATTCACTAATCTCTGTGACTTAATGATACAGCTGTGTGAGGGGAACCCTGCACAACTGTGCTGATTTTAAAAAGTGACAGCGTGTAGGGACAGGAACCCCCTTCCGATGTCACAAGGGGGTTGAGGGAAGCTGGAAGTACTTAACAGTAGCATGTTACATGTCACACATGTTACCAGAGGTGATCTTATGTTGTAAGATGTGTTGATCTCCCAAAACTCGAAATGAAGGGTGCTCTGAAAGTTTGCTGTACAACATTGCTCAGTCTGGAATGTACAAACGTAAAACTTTTGTGAGCTATGGTTAGAGGCATTGATCAAATTAGACACTTCAGTCCAACCCCGGTATATGCCCTCAAATCTTTCTCAGAGGCATTGCATTAGATATTACAGAGTTTGATAAACGATTCAGAGATAATGTTCTAGAGATACAATGGAGAATGGTGGCCTACAGGAGATAAAATTTAAGTTATAATGCTGAAAATTAGGTAAGTATTAGACATATCAGAAATGCAAATAAAGTTTTAAGCAGTATTAAAACCAAAAATGGAATATATTGCAGCTTACCAATCAATAAATATGGTGGCTTACTAGTTTTCTTTTTTTCCCCTCTGTTTTTCACCTGATGATCTGGCCAATAACCTCCTGTATAGAGTTCTCCCACTCTGGATGAATGAGCAAAGGGTACCTTTGGACGGCAATGTTAATCTGGGGGGAGGGGGTGTTAGATATTCTTAGCAGATTTCAATACACTAACAATTTGAAGCCAAACTCCAGCTAACACTTTATAAGCAGTTACAGCAACAGTGGTTTCCCTTTGGGATAAAGGTTTTAGTTAAATAAAAGCTGACTATTGTAAGCACCCCTTTCAGAAGGTTAGATAAACCATTTAACACTAACTGCTACATCTGCATGACAGCTTCTTCTGTTGAAAGTTAAAAAAACCTGTACGCAATCACTATAAATAAGGGCTCATGTACACGGGGCGTTTGGAAAACTCTTCTGAACGATGGAATTTGACTGCTGGAAAACATAGGTTAAATAACGTCAGTTTAGCAGTGTTTGCATACCGCGTTTATGCGTGTTTGTGTTTAGAAGCGTTTTTTAAATATAACCTCAGGAGAACTATTTCAGACATTTTGAGAGGAATAGAGAGAGCAGAAGCAGGGAGAGCAGTATGTGTTGAGATGACCTGTCTTTTCTGGTTGTATTCACTTTGGATCCTATCATGAGCATAATGTGGCACGTTCTACCATTTTTTCCTTCACGCGAAACCTGGAACTGACTGCGCTGGTGCACCGGGTCCATTTAAATACATAGAAAACGCTTTGCATGCATTTCTCATGATGGAAAAAGGCTCTGGACAGCATCTGGCCATGGAACAGTTAAAAAACGCTTCTAAACGCAAACTCTTATAATGCGGTTAACCGCATTTACAAACATTTGGAACGCCGGTAAAATCTACTCCTGAACGCAAGTTTGGTGCATTCAAAAAAAAACTACTGGAAACTAAACTGCCTGTAAATGACATAGTGTACATGGACACATAGGAAATCATTAGGGAGAGTTCAGGGGCTGCAGAAAAAAATGAACAGCTCCTGAACATCAGTTTAGCAGCTGCAATGTATATGATCCCTTACACTACTAATCAGATACAAAGGAATGGACACAAAGTGACAATGTTGCTGCTATGTCCTCATATGTCCACACCACATATATGATAAACAATATACTTATCAGGACAGTGCTACAATGTTGCAATACAAAAGATTCCTGTCAAAGACCTCACAACACTGAGAGGCAATGTATCCCTTTTGTGTGACTGAAATCCTAATAAAATCAAATGTCCGTACATACAGTCCTCATTGCAGAGCTAAAGAAGTAACATCCTTAGCAAGTTTCATCCAGATAAGATCCCTCATATCCGAGTGCATGAAGTAATAAATAGAATCACCACTTGTGGAGTACCATCACCATTTGCCTCTCACCTGATGGAAAGACCTAATGAATATCGGTCTAATAACACCTTTAACTCTATTATCCCTGGGTAAGGGGATATCCTTCGTTTTATAGTACTCAGAGCCTGATGCAGATGAATCATGGGCAGGGTGGATTTGATTTAAATCAAACTGATTTAAATCACTAGTCAGGCTTGATTTAAATCATAGTTTTCTACATAAAGACTAATTCTTGCTGGTATAACTCTAATATGCAAGTAGATGAAGATTTTTAGAATAACAACTTTTCATATTAGTTTTTTTATCCCCAGTTTAATATATTTGGACAACTTTTCTGTAGTATTTAGGAAGGAGAAAATAATCATTACCTTAATAATAACAATTTAAATAGATTTATTCAACTGAAACATAACATAACATTACAGCATATGTTATTTGCTTAAACAAACATCCATGTTTGGTAACTAATTTGGCTAAACAAAATATATATATTTTAAGAAACTTAGACTGTCTGCCCCTTCCTCCTCACACTTAGTTTCACTTTCTTCTTGTGCAGATCTATTCCACTCCAAACAATCAGAAAAATATTGTTTCTATTCTATTCACTGAACTTCTTGAAATTTAGCACTGAAGGGGTTGATTCTGTATTCATAGGTTTGTAGAAGTTAGGATTAAGGTCTTTTTCTTAACTCTGTTCATGTTATAACATTTTTGCTGTGAAGAAGAGGCATGTGATCTCCGCTGAGTCAAATTCAGTTTTGAGAAGTGCAAAAGTAAACCAAGCATCTGTGATAATATCTTGTAGGCAGAGAAACTGCCCAATAATCTTACAAAAACCTCTGGAAGAGCATGACATTGTGAATGGATTAATGGAATTTATTTACCAAAAAAATTAAACATATACAGCCTTATTCTACATAATTAAAAAACTAATCTTTATTTCATGATGGAATAACCTTTGGATGGTAATATATTTTCCTCAAAAAGCATTTTATTAAAAAAAAATCCGATTTAAATCAAAAAAATCATTGATTTTTATCCACCCTGATCATGGGTATATGTATGGGAAAAAATGCTGACATGGTGTGTACCCGTATACACAGTTTATTAAAGAATGTTAAAAATAAATACACTCACAAATAGGGTGCACTATCTTGGTGCACTACAGATACCAGCAGTGGTCAGAACAGATATTCCATATACCCGCGGCACCTGGCGGGAATTCTGTGAGCGGAATCACCGTCCTCCCTCCCTTGCCCTCATCCTTTGATTGTCTCCTGTTGCAATCTCCCTCGTATGTTCCGTTAAGGTTTAAAATGTCATGACATGTTTTAATAAATTGTGTATACAAGTACACACTGTCAGCATTTTTTTCCATACATATACCCATGATTCATCTGCGCTGGAGGCCCCGAGTACTATAAAACGAAGGATATCCCCTTACCCAGGGATAATAGGGTTAAAGGTGTTATTAGACCGATATTCAATAGGTCTTTCCATCAGGTGAGAGGCAGATGGTGATGGTACTCCACAAGTAGTGATTCTATTTATTATTACTTCATGCACTCGGAAATGAGGGATCTTATCTGGATGAAACTTGCTAAGGATGTGACTTTGATTTTTATTCCTTTAGCTCTGCAATGAGGACTTTATGTACTGACATTTGATTTGATTAGGATTTCAGTCACACAAAGGGATACATTGGATGCATACCCATAATATGGGAAAAAGGCTGTAATTCATATTTTTACATGTGAGTGGGCATTTTTGTTTTTAATATCTATTTACCAATTAAAACTGGATTACACTATGGAGGATCTCTTTTGTTTTTAATGTCACCTGATAAATGGTCCTGTGGAATCGAGTCCTAGGAGATAGGAGAAGTTTGGAGTGATCTATCAAAGTGTTCCATCCTCTGATGATACCTTATTTGGTGTACAAGGTCACCTTTATAGCTGTTTGGCCCATTGGGTCGCATTAAGGAGGTGAGGGGCCACTTTGGCCGTTTGTGGATTGTCTGCACATAGAGTGGCACTGTGATCACCTCATGGAGTTTGCTGTGGTTTTTCACCATCATCTGTATTTATGGACTGTTGCACATAGCATTTATTCTATGAGCACGTAACACCATATACTGTGATATCATATATTTTGCATTCTATATGTGACACTCTTATTTTATTTTTATTTTCTTTGTGTTTTTATTTAGGCTGTTAGCGCTACACTATTTCTCTTGCAATTATTGATTTTTCCTTGTGGTTAAGGCAAGTGTTAGCTGCTTATAAAATAGGTGGTTCATCTAGCGCAGGAACATTTTTTCACATTACAAAGGGATACATTGCCTCTCAGTGTTATGAGGTGTTTGACAGGAATCTTTTGTATTACAACATTGTAGCGCTGTCCTGATAAGTATATTGTTTCTTATGTACAGTATGCGGTGTGGACATATGAGGACATAGCAGCAACATTTTCACTTTTGCGTCCATTCCTTTGTGTCTGTTTAGTGTTATTTATAGTGACAGCGCACAGGTTTTTTAACTTTCAACAGAACAAGCTGTCATGCAGATGTCGCAGTTAGAAGGTTAAGATAAACCATTTATCACTGATGGGGGTGCTTACAATAGTCAGCTTTTATTTTAGGATTTCAGTCACACAAGGATACATTGCCTGTCAGTATTGTGAGGTCTTTGACAGGAATCTTTTTGTATTGCAACATTGTAGCACATTCCTAATAAGTATATTGTTCTGTTGAAAAACAGCAGGCTTAGTGGCCAGATCACTAGGTGAAAAAGAAAACCAATGCAGCCATCACATATAAGAATTTGTAAGCTACAGTATAATAAATGTTTGCTTTTGGATTCAATACTGTTTTGAATGAAAGACGACATTTGAAAGTGTGAAATCAATTCCTAAAACCTTTGTGGAGCTGCAGTAACATCAGCAAAGACTTCAGCAGTGTTTTGACTCCACCCAAAGTCTTCATGAAGCTCTAATTTTATGTAATTGTAACAATTTTCTGATATCTGTTGTTATGACATGTTTTATTTCTAATCTAGGATTACGGTGCTTTGAGAGATATTGTCGTCAATGCAAATCCCGCCCTGCCTCCACTTTCCCTGCTGATCCTGCACAGTCTGCTGTGTGAACGCTACCAGGTGCTATCAGCAGTTCACACGCATTCTTCTGTCACCAACATCCCAGAACCTCTACTGAAATGCTTTGGGGATCAAGTGAATAAAAAAGTATCGACAGGAATATCAGCTTGGCTTCACTCTTATTTGGAAAGATGGTAAGCTGTGACAAGCTACAGGACTCATGTAATTCATGTAGAGCAAAGAAAGCTTGGAGCTTAAAATCAGAAATCGTGTCGCGCTCCGCTACCAATTGCAAAAATTATGAGTGAATAAATAACGAATAAATGAAAGTCCAGCATAAAAAAGAAAATAATTTTTATATTTATATATATATATATATATATATATAAACAATAGCACTGCAGTTATATTGCTACTGCAATCATGTCCTTAGTGAGTCCGTGCCTTTAATACTTCTTCTATTGCTGTAATACGGAACAATAACCGTGCAGTTCACCAAGCTTAAAAAACATTGTGCACCTTCACCAGTTGTGCTCTCACCTGATGTATTTGACCAAACCATTAAGTGAGGTCATGAAAAGCTTATGTGCCTTTAATTGGACTTAGTGGTAAATGGATAGGATTAGCCCTATATCCCTGGGATGGATGGATGGAGTGTTTCCTCTTCTCATCAGGGGATCCCCTCGCTTCCTTATGAATTTTCCTGGAGCTGAGTGGATGGATGGGAATATCCCTCTTCCCATTAGGGGTCTCCTTGCTTCCTTAGGGAATTTTCTCCATAGGTGTATTACCCGTGAAATGTAATAAAAGATATAGTGCCTTATCCCCTTTAAAACAAATTTATTTAAATAAAAGTAGTGCACTCACATGTATTTCAAGTTAAAACCGCATTGAAATCTAAAATTTTAATCTACAGTAAGATTTTCCTATATTGCTGAAACTTTGTGTATGTTGCTTTAAAAGTTGTGATGTCAGAGCCCCTCCCAATAATGAATAAATGAAAGTCCAGCATAAAAAAAAACAGATATATATATATATATATATGTATATATAATATATGTTACTTAGTCCGGCTGAAAAAAAGACAAAAACCATCCAGTTCAACCATAGAAAAAAAAAAAAGTTGTAATCCTATACCCACAGTTTGTTTTGTTTTTTTTTTTGTTTTTTGTTTTTTTAATTTAAATATTTATTAAATTTTTTTACATGTTAATACAAAAACCCAAAAAGGGAAATAATTCTCATACAAATAAACATTTATAACATTTCTACCTTTTCCTTTACTAAAAAGGGTATCCCCTTCCCCGCATTCAAGAAGTAAAAATTACTGAATTTTTATATTTTTTACAGATTTTCCCCAATTGTGTAGGAGGCACGTGTTGATTTAACCCCCTAGTTATTTAGTTATTTCTTCAATAACTTGATATTATTTTCAAAAAACCCGGATTTTCGGAATTCCCACCATATGAAAAAAAACCCCTTTGCCTATTCTCCACTCCTCCGCACATATTTGAATTTTCCCTTTTCTTTTGTGCTCTACACTGGTGAAATGTCCCATCTTGTCACAATTAATTAACCTAAACCTCTTCATCTAACATTATTGTATCAATCAAAACATTTTCTTGTCTATTTTCATAAAAACCAACTCCAATTTTTCCCTTTTTTTGTCTGAAATTAACTTTGGTTTGTGTTAATTCTGTGAGTATTCTATCCCTTTTGAAAAAAGTGCTTCCATCCTTCTGTCTCTAACAACTTTCAAACATTTTCCCACCTTGTTTTAAATTTCAAGGGTTTAGTAGTTTTCCCCCTAAAACTTTTAAATTGTGATTTTCCCCTATTATTTTTAAAATGTCCCCTTTTTTCTTTTTAACCTTTAAGTGATTCAATTCCCTCCCCCAAAAATTTTGTTGGGTACCTCTTTCAAAACCCATCCCCCTGATATCTTTTTTTTCCCGGGGAAAGTACCAGTATTTGTGAGAGGTTAATATTAAATTAAAATTTTCCCTTTATATTTTTGTGTAAATTACCCCATCCCCTAAAAAACATTAAAGTGAAAAATATTGGTTTTTTTAAACCCCCTGAACTTGGTGGAACCCATAATTGACTCAATCAAAAGCCATAAGATCATTTTCAATTGTTACCCCTTTTCCCTTATGGTTAAAGCCCAGTATTTTTTTGCTAAAAAACTGCTTTTGTTCTCTTGATCTGGTGACCCCAAACCCTTTCTCTTTTGTCTTAATGTTTCATTGTATTCAGGTTTTTTTTTCTTCCAAAGTTCTTGTTAAAATTTTTTTATTTTTTAAAGGAGGTTTTTGGAATTTTTTTTGGTACCCTTTTTAAAATTTTACAGTATTTTTTGGATAATTCCATTTTAACTAAAGTTTATAGTCCTATCCCGGGATGGTTTCCCCTTTTTAGTCTTTTTAAATTTCCCCGATCCTTTTTTCAAAGAGATATAATTAATTATACAAATGTTAGATGAGGGAGTGAGTTTTATTCCCAGGTATTTTATCTTTTTTCTCTCCATATAAAGGGGGTTTTTTTGTAGTTTTTCTTTTTCTTCTTGATATTAATATTAGGGTCTCTTTTTCGTTGGATTAATTTTTAATTTGATAGTTCACCTACTTTTAGAAACTTCATTATTTGGGGAGTTTTGGGGATTCCCCCCGAACAATAAGTCGTTTCCCCAAAGGCCTACTCTATGTTCTATGGATTCTATCTGAAATTCCCTTTTCCCTCCCCTATTTTTTTATTGACAACAGAGGTTGAGGAAATAATATAGAGAGGGGCAGAGGAAGCCCCGTCTTGTACCCCTTTGACTTAATGGGTTCTGATCTTCCCTTTACCGTATGATTGCGGTAGGTCCCTATATAATTTCTTTTTCATTGCATTTATCATATCCCCGCCTTTTAAGTTATCCTATAAAGCCGTATCTTTTAAATGCCTTTCTCATAATTTCAGAGCACCCCGGGGGTTTCCTTTCTACTTTTCTGAAAAAGCATCGGGTCTCAAAAACGATCTTACCTTCTCTCCGGTCAAAGCCCCTGGGGCCCATGGACCCTTAGGGGATCAGTCTTAACCCGTTTGTAAACCTTTTAACAGTTTTGTGTCTGTGTTTTAAAAAGAGATAGGTTTAGTGGGCCCGGATGGGGCTTTTCCCCCCTTGTGAAAAAGTATAATGGGCTGTAGGGGTTTCTCCCCACTTCATCCCCCTCCCAGGCTTCTATATTTTTTCCGTTGGGTAAAAGTATTCCTAAAATTTTTTGTACTTTAACTGTTAGCCATCCCGGGCTGGATTTTTCCCCCTCCCGTGCTTCTTAAAGTTTTTAATTTTTTCCCGGGAATTTTGCGTCTAGGGAGTTCACTGTGTTATTATTTTGGGGAACCCCCATTTTTTAAGTTGTCATTTTTTTTCATTAATTCCCCCTTTTGGGTTCTTTTAGAGGGCCTTTGGGGGCTAATATTTATAACTTTTGTTAAACTCCCTAAAAAATTTAATAACTTTTGTTTGAGTGGACCAATCCCTTTGAAATTTTTTTTCTTTTCTATATAGTTCTATTTTCTTTTTATTCAAAGCTTTTATTTGTTCTTTGGTCGTTCCCCCCTATTCTTGTTCAAAACCCGTTGTATACTTTTTTCTCCTCATCCCTCCTCTTAGCTCCCCTTTTTTATCCTTTAACTTCTGTCTCGTATCTTTTGTTATTTTTTTTATGGATCTGCTCCCAAGTCCAAAATTCTTTTAAAAGATGATTCTCTTCTTTCCTTTTTTTCTTGCTCCTGCCGCAATAAG